ATATGTGTATGTGTGATCCTACACCCGGCACTGCAGAGGGTTATCCCAGCACTGCAGAGGGTTATCCCGGCACTGCAGAGGGTTATCCCGGCACTGCAGAGGGTTCTCAGGACCCAGCTGCTTACTCTGGAGGACACTTACAACACTCGATGCCTCAGGAAAGCAGCCATTATCGCCAGTGACCCAACACACCCCTGCTGCCACTGGTTCACCACCCTGCCCTTTGGATGGCGCTACAGGACAATTTAGCCCCACACATCCACACTGAGGAGTAGCTTTTACCCCAAAGTCACTGATCATCTTAACCAAACATGAAGCAGCAAACTCAAGTAACCCCACCACACCCCTATGAGCTGCAGTCACCTGCCCCCCCTCCCCCAAACAGACTGCTGCCAATTCTTATCCACATGATCATTTCTAATAAAAAATACACTCTTTAATGCTGCTACAGTAGATGTGACTGCACTACTGCAGATTGATTCAACACTTAGCTTCATACTATACAACTAGATGGGTATATTTTTTCATTTATCCATTTTATTTTCTTATTTTTATTTCATTGTTTATAACAAGCACAGGGTTTGTTTTACATGTACAATGACAATTAAGATATTCTATTCCAACATGAGAAGAACATGCAAAAATCACACAGAGAGCAGAGTCAGGATTCAAACTCATAACCCTGGAGTTGTGAGGCAACAGTGACACCTATCAAACCACAAACTAGCTACAGCAATGTCATTTTTAGATTGAAAAGAGTTTTATGCAAGCCTTTTTTTTCTACAAAAAAAAGGACTATGAAACATTTGTCATATGCATTGATCTGTACAATACACAATATTAAACGATTTGAATCTCTGTCACTGGGGTCTTAAAGAGCAGCTGTTAATTTTGTGTTTTTTTCCCGCCGTCAGCATTACCCACTCAGACTGACAGCAGTATCCAATTGAGCAAACCACACCCCTGACATTCCTGGACCTGAGATCCTGGCTCTTGGTGAACCCTACCCTAGATCTAAACAGCTGCTGTACGTGCAAGTTCTGATTGCAGATGAGCTGTGCCACACTACAGTCCCTCACCCTATGTGCTGAGGCTGTTACTCCCAGTACTAAGGTGGTTATCCCAAGAACTGAGGCCATTGCTGGTTATAGGAGACCTAAGACACTTGCACACACCCCAGCAATCCAGGTCAGGATGAACACCTCCACGTCCCAGGACAAGGTGGCTAGGTAAGCTAGCTTTGTTTCATTGGGATGCAGCCCTCCATCTCCAGAACTTCAGGCCAGCCCTCATATTTGTTGGTATCTGCCTTGTTCTTTATGTGCTGGAAACATGGGACAGAGCAGCATCTATCAATTAGCAGTAGCTTAAAGGTGGCCTCCTTTGTTAAGATCAGCTGTAGGGCTACATACCTGCTCAAAGGGACTCTTCCTTTTGATCCCTTTACCTCCCACAAAGATCCAGTTATCCCTGAATTTTACAGCACTAATACTCGAGCTCCCCAAATCACCGATCAGCTTCCTTGCTTCCTCATTGAGTCTGTGAAGCAGGTGATTCATCAAGCATCAGTTGGATAATAAAGACATTGCATGGGACATCTGACCAGCTGCTGAACCTTCACTTCAGCACCATGCTGCACTGTTCCCTGGTCACCTTTTTCTGTCACTGTAAAATCAATCACTAGCAGGGTTGCAAAATTCTGGGAATTCTCAAAGTTGGAAACTTTTCGTGGGAATTAACAGGAATGTATGGGAATTCAAGATAATAAACTGGAAATTTGCCAAATTGCAGATTAGCCTGTAACAGGGAACTTAAATGTAGTTGAAAAAAACACCTTGACAGCAGTAATAGTGATATTATTGTGTAACCAAGTGCTTGTGAGTAATTATCTGTGCATAAAAATACCTCAAAATAAGCATCTGCATCAAAACACACTGCTTAAGTCATATTCTATGTTGTATTATTCATACAGTTTGCTTTCTTTGCCATGTCTGACAGCTTGCGTGGAGATCCTTGGAGTTCAATATTTCCAAAATTCCCCAAGTTAACTTCCAATGGATAGTTTCCGGAAATGTTCCACCCCTCACTAGTGATCCCGAGTCCACAGCCATGTGACCAGACCGTCAAACACACAGGGTGCGGCTCATTAAACAAAATGTCCACGCACTGAACGACACACTTACTTTGTAGAAGAGTCATCAAACGTAGCCATCATGACTAGTGTCCCTTGTTCAATGCTCTTCAGGAACTTTATTAGGAGCTTGATGTCTACAAATGGTAGATTTCCAATCACAAGTCTACATTTCATTCATGTAACTAGTCAGGCTATCAAATTCAGTGTCTGACAGCTACACCTATAAAGTTATGTGATAAACTTGCGAATAAACTCACCTCCCGCCCACATATCGAAGTAAGCCGTCTTGATGAGTATTCCAGTACTTCCTGTGAACACATACCCACATTATGGAGGCATCACACCTATGTACATGCATTAAAATCTGCTTGGGGTGCTTTAATTTAATTAAGATAATACAGGCCAATATGTGAGCATGAGCATTAATAATATTATTAGGCTGAGATATTAGGTTACCGTTCACTAAGGCAATGTTCAGTCCTCGTCCCACATTGTTCTTCACGCCACTCATGAGGCTGAAAGACATATAGAGTGAGACGCCCAGACAGGAAGTGCAAGTAGCAGGAACAGGAAGGGGCGGGCCTTACATGTTGTCCTCCACACAGATTTTAGGCCCCACTATACTGGCAGCTCCACTGTTCATCTTAAAGGCAAAGTGTTTTGCAGGACAAGGCCTGGACAGGCCACATTTCAAATTGATGGGTTTTGCAGCTGATGGGAACAAAGTTCACACACGGATACACACAATCATCAGCAGTGTCCCTTCACATCTACAGTACATGAGACAGAATGGATTGTTTATAAAAATGGAAAAAAATGCAACAACTGTCAGATTTTAAATGATCACATACAGTTAAACAGGTTTTAATATCTGTGAGAATTTGCAGACGTCTTTTTTTTTTTAAATCTGAAGCCTGAACTTTTTTTTGTTAACTGACAAACTACTAACCTTAAAGCTTATTTATAGGAAATATTTTCCAGCACTGAAAAAGAGCTTACTTACTAGGTTGCTGTGATGACATAGACCTGACTATAGGGGTAGAGAGAGAGCAAATTTTCAGACTTGAATTAGCAACAATGCATAAATGCACCTCATAAGTTGGGTGTGTAAAGCCACAAGTTGATGGCATAAGCTAATGACACACAAGCAGTACACTATATCCTGAAAACACACAGATTCCCTTTTTCATTTCTTTAATCTAGATTTGCTATTTTGTGTATGTGACCCTGGGGATTTGGCGATCAACAGCCTGTCACCAGGAATGGCTTCACGCAGACATTTCCCCCACCCATCAGTTAAAGCCACATCTTCATCTGGAAGCACTTCACCCTCAGCTCTGCTCAGCTTCAGATCCTTCAAGTTCATTCGTTTGCATGTTCTGGTTATTTCTGGTTGGGGCACAATGCCCCAGTTAATTCAGTGACTTAACTGCAGTTCTGTCATCTTTTGTTTGTAGCCATTTTCGTGTAAACTAATTTTCAGACAGTCAGTGCCAACACTTGGGAGCGGCACCGCTGAAAACAGAGATTCATTGTGTAAGACGCACAATGCTTCAAAAAGCTGATGTACAAAAGGGAGGCACATACTGCCCTCTGGTGGCTGACCTAAGCAAGAAAAAATTCACACCTGATCACAGCTCACCACTCCTAGTGACAACAAATATTTTTCAGGGAAAAAGGTGTGTTTGTCATCACAGGTGAATGTCACCTACATATGGCTGAAGGTAAATGGCAAAGATGTTACGCTTGGTAGGCTTTGGGCTTACCAAGAAAGGGTCGGTGTTAGCGTTAAGCTTTGAACTTACCAAACAAGTTTAAATCTGTAAAGGTAAGCCTTTGGAAGGTGAACAGAGCAACTAATAGCAGGGATATCAGGAGTCCCAGTTTGAGGATCGCTAGAGCAGATAAACACACAGCAATTATCAAGTTATAATTACAGTACAGTGTTTTAGCCCTAAAGCATTCATAAACTTGACAACAAAACTGGATTGAAAGTTAAAATAATGACATTTCATAAGTGATAGAAATGTAATTAGTACTTTCATAGGATGTGCTAGGTCAAATATTTGATATCAATGATGAGAATCACACCTGATCGAACTGCATAAAGTGTGAAATGTGAGTAAATCAGTTCAGGTTTCAGTCACCCAAAGACACATTGATATATATACTCAGCAAAAAAAGAAACGTCCCTTTTTCAGGACTGTGTATTTCAACAATAATGTTGTAAAAATCCAAATAACTTTACAGATCTTCATTGTAAAGGGTCTAAACAATGTTTTCCATGCATGTTCAATTAACCATAATCAATTAATTAACATGCACATCCGAATATCACACCTACGTGACAGGTACAGGATGGCCACAACAACTGCCCGAGTCACACCAGGAACACACAAGCCCTCAGTCCAGCCTCTCTCAGCCTATTGCGGACAGTCTGAGCACTGATGGAGGGATTGTGTGTTCCTGGTGTGACTCGGGCAGTTGTTGTGGCCATCCTGTACCTGTCACGCAGGTGTGATATTCGGATGTACCGATCCTGTGCAGGTGTTGTTACACGTGGTCTTCCACTGCGAGGATGATCAGCTGTCCTTCCTGTCTCCCTGTAGCACTGTCTTAGGCGTCTCACAGTGCTGACATGGCAATTTATTGCCCTAGCCACATCAGCAGTCCTCATGCCTCCCTGCAACATGCCTAATGCACGTTCACGCAGATGAGCAGGGACCCTGGGCATCTTTCTTTGGGTGTTTTTCACAGTCGGTAGACAAGTCTGTTTAGTGTCCTGTGTTTTTAGAACTGTGACCTTAAATGCCTACTTTCTGTAAGCTGTTAAGGTCTTAACGACCATTCCACAGGTGCATGTTAATTAATTGATTATGGTTAATTGAACATGCATGGAAAACATTGTTTAAACCCTTTACAATGAAGATCTGTAAAATTATTTGGATTTTTACAACATTATTGTTGAAATACACAGTCCTGAAAAAGGGACGTTTCTTTTTTTGCTGAGTATATATATGGACACAGAGACTTACCCTTCACTTTGACCATTTTGGACTGGATAATCGGACTGCCCCAGACAGACCTGCATCAGAGGAGGTTGGGGGTCAGCACCACACCCTTATATGCCAAAGTAACCAATTGTAAGCCACGTGACATTAGTAAGAAAACCAGGGCAGTCCGCCCTCAATTGCTGTATTAACCAATCAAAAGTAGCGTGGCATTGCTAAAAGAGTTGGGGGTCAGGGCTACACCCTCATGTGCCAAACTAACCAATCATAAGCCGCGTAACATTGGTAACAGAGCTGGAGGTCAGCACTAGGCCTGTGCAATATGACGATATTATTGATAATCAACAATATCAGACAAGTAACTCTTGTGATGCCGGTGTCTCTCCACGACATTGGCAGGATTTGTCCTCTCCCCTCGGTGCCGCCGTACACGCACATGACGATCATCCGTGGTAACGCAGAACCGAGATTCATCTCTGAACATGGTACAATGCCACTCGTCACCAGTCCATGCCTCCTGGTTACGGCTCCACTCCAAACACGGCCGTCTCTGCGCTGGTGTTAACGGCTGCCTACGCATGGGATGGTGAACCCATAGTCCGGCTGATGCCAGTTGTCGAGACACAGTGCAGGATGACACGGGGTGTTATAGAAAGTCCGATACCTGGGTCCGGATGGCAGGTGCAGATGTCATGGGGTTCTGTAATGCTTGCCGCACAATTATGATAATCCACCCCTGGTGTGATCTCTCTCGGGTGACCGGAACCTTCGCGGCGTGCGTAGGTGCCCTCACGTGTCTATTGGTTCTAACATCGGGCGACTGAGACATCTGCATGCCTCACATACCGAGCAATTACACGATATGACCACCAGGCCTCATGCAAACCCAAAATATGACCCCTATCAATCTCCGTCAGGTGCTGGTAATGCTGCCTAATGCGTGTACGAGGCATCTTCTGTGTCTGGTGACTAGACATGTCAGCTCCTTGCAAATAGAATAATTTACACACCCATAACTGGTCTGCACATGTACCAAATTATATCCAAATCAGACAATTACTTCCCGGTGCTTAACTTTTTTTTGTCACTGTGTGTGTGCGTGTGTGTGTGTGTTTTATTATATATTACACAAACACACACACACACACACACACGGACAAATTTGTTGGTACCCTTCCACAAAAAAACAACTATCTCTGAAATAACATGAAACTGACAAAAGTTTAATGGTAACCCTTATTGCTTGTTCCATATTTAACACAAATCAGACTTTGCTTTTGATTATTGATTCAGTTGAATATTTTATATAATTAAACAAATGAAAATGGCACAGACAAAAAAAGGTGGTACCCTTAATTTAGTGTTTTGTGGCACCACCTTTTGCAGTAATCACTGCCAACAAGTGATCTCTGTATTTCACAATGAGACGTTTGCATTTGCCAACAGGTAGTTTGGCCCCCACTTCCTGAGCAAACTGCTCAAGCTGTCCCAGGCTTGAAGGGTGGCGTCTCCACACTGCAATTGTCAGATCTTTCCATAGATGTTCAATAGGATGTGGGCTCATGGGCCATTTAAGAATAGTCCAGTGTTTTTTTCTCAGCCAATCTTGAGTGCTTTTATCTGTAATGTTTTGGGTCATTTTCCTGTTGGAGGTCCGATTACCTGCGACTGAGGCTGAGCTTTCTGACACTGGGCAGTATGTTTCACTCCAGGATGCCTTGGTAGTCTTGAGGCTTCATTGTGCCCTGCACAGATTCAAGGTTCCCTGTGCAAGATGCAGCAAAGCAGCCCCAAAACAAATCCAAGCCCCTCCATGTTTCACAGTAGGTATGGTGATCTTTTCTTTTAAAGCTTCATTTTTCCTTCTGTAAACATAGAGCTGATGTGACTGGCTAAAAAGCTCCAGTTTTGTCTCATCAGTACAAAGGAAACTCCGGAGCTTATCAACATGCCTTTCAGCAAATTCCACTCTTCTCACTTTTCTATGTTTTTCTGTCAATAGTGGAACCCTTCTGGCTCTTCCTTCCATGGAGCTCATTATTGTTCAAAATACGACATATGGTGTGATCAGAAGATGACATACCTTGACCTTGGAGCTCAGCTTGAATGGTTTTGGATGGTTTCCTTGGCTCTTTTTCTACCATCCACACTATCCTTCTGATCAACCTGGGGTTGCATTTCCTCTTGCGTCCACATCCTGGGAGGTTGGTTACAGTCCTATGAACCTTATACATTTTAATAATATTGGCAACTGTGGTCACAGGAACATGAAGCTGCTTGCAGATGGTCTTATAGCCTTTACCTTTAACATGGTTATCTATAATCTTCTTTCTGAGCTCCTCAGACAGCTCTCTCCTCTGCTTTCTCTGGTCAATGTAATGCATGCAACGATACCAAAGATCACAGCAGCATGTTCTTTCCCTTTAAACAGGCTGAATGGCTGATGAAAAGTTTAAAGGCACCTGTGATACTAATTTAGGTTAACCTTCTCCTTAGGGGTACCAACAAATCTGTCCATACTATTTTAGCATATCTTTGTAAAATAAACAACAAATCATCTCTTTTCACAATTTTATTGGTTTACTCTATCATATACTAAAGGCATGCAGGTATACATGAGACAATTTCTTTTAATTGAATCACTTTTCCGGAGAAATGAAGCACTGCTATAATGAGCTGTACGGGTACAACTGGTTTAATCCTTAACGACACCCTTGGTTTTCTAGCTTTCTTTACAGGTGAATCTTCATTAACATTTGAATGGGAATGCGGAAATGACTCAGTGGGCTAAGCCTCTGTATCTGTGACTGGAAGGTCACCAGTTTATCCATGGCCTCAGAAGAAAAGTCCCACCTTCCCTAATCCCCAGCTTCAGGGGCACCGCATGCTGGTTGACCCCACATTGCAGCCCCCTAACCTGCCTCTCGCCTGCATGTGTGTCTATGGGTCTCATGGAGACAGGCAAAGAGAAGCCATGCACTTTGCATTCAATAGCTGTCATACACTTACAGTCACTGGTGGTAAATGTACACAGTACAATTGATGTGATGTAGTCCAATTATTAATAAATACATAAACTGAAAATTATATGATGTGCATCATATCGTTTGAATGGGCATAGCAGATATTGAAGTATTGCATGACCCTCTGCAATATGTTTAAATGAGCATTTCTTTCAATTTCATTACATTTCTAGCTCTGTAGGGCTGGACAATGGCGCGGAGAGTGTGCTGGCTTCAAGAAAGACACATATCCGGCATTCTAACATTACTAGTTGCCATTTATTGATCTAACTCGATGTTCAGGATAACTGAACAGGGGCCTGTACTACGAAGCAGGGTTACTGGCTTATCTGGGTAACTTGTCAGATTTAAGGTACCACAGTTTACATGGACTTCATATTTGTTCACTTATGTTTTGCCCAGACTACCTTAAATCCGACAAGTTACCCCGATAAACCAGTAATCCCGAATCGTAGTACAGGCAACAGATACATTAGTAATTTTACTTAACGCTAAGTGTAAGTGCCAGAATCTGCTTAAAATCACAAAGTGTAATTAAAATGGCTGGTCCTACACTCTCAGAGAAAAGGGTTCAGCACCAGTGACAAGCAAAGGTACAAATTTATACCCCTTTTTCTGTAACTGTGGCTGTAAGAGTAACTGTGAACTCGTCCATCATATGCATTCATACTATCATTCAGAGTATCGTGAAAAGTAAAATTGCGATCAGATAAGCTAAACATTTCTATCTGCTCACAGAAATGGTACCGCACGGTCCCGGTCTGTGCATCGCAGTGTTGATGACTCTCAGGTGTCTGACGTGACATTCACGCTTCCTGACTCTCATGCAAGAAATCTTACGTCAACTTGAAATAAGCCACATCAAAGGCGTTGGCGTAGTTTGCAAACCCTACAGTCTATTTACAAGGCAGTAAAATTGTTACAAACATGCAAATTTAAAATCTCACAACAGCCGTGACCAAAGTTCGCAACTCTTCCGGAGACACTGAATCTGATCTTCTGGGTTAAAGCAATCATGATAAATCACAGCCGGTCTTAAATCGGCCGGTATGTACTGTATGTACATGGCATATTATAATGACACATTAAAAAATGAACGAGATGGAGACCCAGACACCCGGCGACAGCTGGAGGACACCAACCTACCTTCATCAACGTGTCACCGCTTCAGACGGACACGGATATCGATGGCAAAAAGTCGCAGAAAATGCAATGTCAGAAACGCAAACGGTTGCCACCGTGACACTATTCATGCACTAAATGTGTTTAGCGACCTCCGCGAAAGACGCGACGGGCCGGTGCCTTTATCCTAATGCCGACACAGCACGCAAGATTACAGCGTTTTTCACACTGGCAAGTAATGCATTAGGACAGAGAGGAATAGGTGAGCGGGATCAGCCCATTTGGGACCCGGGAAGAAACGGAGACGCAGCGACAGAGGCATATTGCATAAAAGTACGACAAAATGCTTTTTCACTCGCTATTTTCTTAAACGAGCGTTTTTAATTAATACTATTATTATTTTATTTCGGTAAAGTTACCTGCGATGTCTTCTGTCCCAGGGAATCAAATGGCCATTCCTTCAGTGATTATCGTCACTACTTCCTGTTTTACTCACCTGTTTAGCAGGTGGGTTAAGACTGTAAAGAGACTGAGGCCAAACCCTATAAGACTTTCTCACTATGAGAATGTTTTCTAAAGGATGTGTCACTGTGATGATTATCAAGAATGCGCACGCACACACACACACACACACACACACACACAGATTCATATCTTTTGGTATTTTGGTATAACCCTAATCCCAGCTATGACAATTTTAATGTCTATGAAGGCCATATCCATACTTGGTTACTCAACCATAAGTAACAAAACAAAATACAAGACTTTTGGGATTTTCAGTGTTTTGATTGCACAAACACATACACGCACGCACACACACACACACACCAAGAGGTCTGTACTGGCAGGTGTAACAATTCCATGAATTATATGAATTCTGATTCTTGTAAAATTCACACGGAAAATATGTGACCACCGTCTGCTTAATAAAATCAGCTTAACACCATGAGATTTACTACTGATATGTGTAAAAGGTGCATTTTATTGCTTTTCACAGTGAAGTCTCCATTTTAGCAAGAAGATGCGTGAATTTAACACAGTAATTCACAGCAGCAGGAAAGCTTCATAAACTGACAAATACAGTTTGATGTTGTTTTAAGAATCCATTCAAAAGAATACAGTTAAAATCCTATCACACAAGATTTTTTTAAAGATGTAAGGCCACCCTTCCTCAAATAAATATGTTTTACACAATTTTCAGCTCAAAACATGTCAAAAGAATATACATTTAATCCACAAACATAATAATAACCTCCATTAAACAACCTTAAAGAATTCCTGGGATTTCATAGGCATTCCGTGGCATTTCCTGGAGTTCCCTAATTGCTTACAGATTAGCTAAACCGTAAAAACCAGCAGTGATTGTAGGACAAGCAAGATCTTGAATGAGAACAGGAAATGGATACATGGGTGACACCTATGGCAAACATTATACCTGGATTTACCTGAACTGACAACAACACTGAGCTCGCACGTCTGCCATGCATGACTTTTACGAACAATTTTGTGATTTGTGAGTTTTGTGATGGTTCCAGTTCGGCCCTCGTTTATTCAATGAGGTCCTAAAAAACAGCAAGTTCGGGATCTTTATATAAAACTGACAGTACATGATCAAACATGTTTCCTTCCTAACACAGGAGTTATTTTTACATCGAATTCTGCATACAAATACATGAACAGGACTGGCGTTTGAAGGAGGCGCTCACCTCGTCTGAATCGCTGGGATAGATGCCTCCATTGCCTGTGGAGGCATTCTGTGGGTTTATTACCACACATGCATCATCATCCTGCAGCTGCAGGGCAGAGAAGCGGTATGCCGGCGTCCTGTAGGGGGCGCAGCTCATCATGATACTCTCAACAATTTGCTGAAATAACCTGTGTTTCCTGTACTGCTACATTCCTCAGTAAGGTTCCTGACATGAATATCGGTGTGACCCCAAGGGTGGCAGTCAGTCCTCTTACTGACTGTGGGTCGCCCCCAAGCATTCCTTTTATGCTTTAGTACCCATTAACTAACTTCTGCAATTGTTCACCCCATCTGCGCCCCCCCCCCCTTACCTCTCTACACAAAACAACTTCTTCATGATAAAGAAGAGGGAGACGGTCAGCACGATGACGGCAACACCGACACACACCATCGTCAGCATTATGGTCTCCTGAAAACGGAGTACAACACCAGGATGAGATCACCTGCCTTCACGCGAGAAGATGGGTGTGCCAATGAGACTCACGTATCCTGATGAGGGTCCTGATCCACAGCGCCTGCTGGCTGAGCTCGGTCGAGGTGGTGGATTAAAACCACCTTCACATCTGTCCCCGGGGACCTTCCGATACCTGCGTCGGGGAAGACCACGTCAAAAGCAAACCGCCACCAGTGCGTGATGGTAAGTTCCTAACAGATGGGTGAGGAAGTCTTACCCAGAGGTCTGAATCTCCCGGTCATCTCCGGTCTGACACACGCTCATGGATTGGTTCCTGAAGATGGGCTCTTCCACACACTCAGAGGTGTTCTCATGACGAAAGTAGCCATAGTCGCTGTCGACAGGGTAGTTGCAAGAGAAAAATGTGCATGGGACACATGCATATGCTGCCCATCAGTAGATCACTACATCTAATTTTTCATTCTGGTTCTTGATTGTCCGTTATGTGTATTGTTGCCTCAGGCTACCTGAAAAACTGACGAATAAAAGTACAACATTTTTATTCTGTTTATGTGGTTCGGCCCTGTGTGACCAGTTGGGGTTACCTCTCAGAACAGACGCTAACCTCCCCATAGAGTCGCAAGGTCAGTTTAATGACAATGTGGCCGCATGGGTGTGCCTGGGTTGTCCTGGACTCATTCACCCATTCTGCATTCACAGCGAGTGATACAGTACAATAAAATGATTGTGTGTGACAGGTTAGATCAATTGGAGGAAATATGCTGTTGAGAGGCAAATAGATTTTTCTTTCTCTTTGATCATGGGTCATTTAAAAACTGATGAAAAAAAAAATGCAGTTGAGTCTGTAGTGTGATTTTGCCACCAAGTAAATTGTTATGGGACCGGCCCACCTGATTTTCTGTCGGCCAGCCCATGTTTTGATTTTTGACTCCGCCACTGGTGTATGCAAAATGCCCGGAAAGCATGATCACAATCTCCAAGCCTTTACCAACGTGTCTTTACCACAGGTAATCCTCCTCGGTGCAGTTGCACGGGGTCTGCTCCCGGCTAACCACGTAGTCCCGGCCGTTTCTGCACACTGCCATCTTCTTCAGCCTCCGGAAGGTCTCACGAAACCCCAGGATGCAGCCTCGAGTGTCCGAGTCCTGCCTGATGCTGGAGTGAGCCAGCCATCTCTCATAATCCTCATCTCCACCTGAGGGGATTCACACACGCACATTATTAATTAAGAATATTCCGGGTGATCTTCCATTTGGGTTGGCTTTGGAGACCTTTTTGAACACTGGCAGATGGAGTGAGACTTTGAGGAAGTGTCTGTCCCTCTGACTTTGCCGTTGGCTGAAGCCTGTGTTTCCCAGAGCTGACTCACACTCTCTGGTGAGCAGATGCTCAAAGTCGATGGTGATGGCGACCCATGTCGTCTTGAAGTCCTCCTCGGTCCGGTATCCCCAGATGCTGATGTTCAAGGTCTTGGTGCCGGGTTCTGATGTCAGGCCGGCCAGGTAAATGGGCTGCTCTGTGAAGGTGTAGGACTGCCAGCACTGACCCTCGTCTGTGGAGAACCTGGGGAAGAGTGAGGTTAGGGTTACAATTAGGGATACGGTTGGGGCTGGGGGGAGGCAGCAGGTGATACAGGAACACAGGCAGACACACAGTCAGATAAACATTCTTGCTGAGAAACAGACACACGAACTATGCGATTACTTGACTGTGCTGATGAGATGCTCCTTGTTTGCAGGTATCGCCACCAGTAGCCCACCAGAGTCCAGTATGGCGTAGTGATGGGGACCCCTCAGCGCCCGTGTCCATGAGTAGCCCCCATCGCTCGACACAAACACGTCCACCTGCGATGAGGTGATGGAATCTCCCAGGCTGCCTGTGGTAGGGGGGCACACGTTTTTGTGCCTGTGGGACACACTCATTGGAGTGTCACAAGTGATTCAGAGGGTGTATTTAAAAAAAACAGAAGGCCCCACCCCCCATAAGGGACAAAACAGCAGGCCCCACCCCCGCTAAGGAGCACTCCCTGATACACCCATCACGCGAAGAGCCACCTGAGGGATGTAGTGATGGGAAGTTCGACTCAATTAACTGATTCGACTCTTTCGAACTGATGGCTTTAATTTAATATGTGATCGTAATTCGTGAACCTAAATTATTTTCGGCCATGTTCATTCATGCTCATTGAGTCGTCGTCTTGCTTTCGACGAAAGCGGTTGTGTTTGCGTTCACCTTATTGAAATGGCGAAATTAGCATAAATTGTAATTAATAAAATAAATTGTAATAAAATAAAATAAATTATTAAAAAAATAAAATAAATAAATAAATAAATATAGAATATCATTGGATAAAATATATACTCTTTATTATTTAGATAAGAATTTAGAATCAAATTAATGGTTAGTCTTAAAGACTAGTTTTAATGCATGTTATTCAATGTAATTATATTGAATAAAGAAAGAAAAAAAATGTTCATTCATCATTCTTATCGATGAAAAAAATTTAAAATCCTGAAAATTCAAATTAGCAAAGACATTTTAGCGACTTAAAGTATAGTATCGGTAATGTACTAACAGTAACTGTAATCCTAACTACGACGGTGCCCAGAGTCCACGTCTTGATTTCTGTGCAAGAAATTCATCCACAAACTGATCTAATTCCAACTGTACGACGACTTCGTTCTCAATTGCCAAAAAAGCAAGTTGTAGGAAAAGCACGTGCCCACGATCGCTCCCGGTGCGTTCTTCTGCTGCGTTAAATAAAATAAAGAGGAAGCTACTCCGCGTAAAACAGATAGGCCTACTTGTACTGAATATGCCAATATTATCAAGCAAAACTTTTTTGACATTAAGCAATGACAAGGCTTCGAGAAGAAAAAAAAAACTAACTGAAGCAAAAGAAATGTCATCTGAAAAGTAAAATTTATAACTTGCAAACACGATTGGTCTTTTGATAATGTTTTCCTTTGTTTACGCTGCCAGCTTTCTCGCTTGCGCTGCTTGACTTTGCGGTTACGCTGCCAGCTTTTTCGCTTGCGCTCCCTGACTTTTTGCTTACAATTCTGACACAAACTTGGATTATATATACAGTGGTACTCATTTTTTCGGAGTAATTTTAATGTGCGAGATCGTGAGGGGTCGAAGCTCAGAATGTTCGCATTGTTGATACCAGGAGGTCTTTAACTTAACTGTTTTATGTGCGATCATTGACATTTTGGGAAACGCGCAGAAATGGGAGCATACAGGAAAGACTGATTTGGAATTATTATAGGAAAAATGTGGATAAAACACCTTATTCATCGCAGGAAAGATAAATGTTAACTTGGCGTTGTGAGCACTGGGGTTGCAAGTAAGCAGTGGCGGAGTAAGTAAAAATAAGTGATACTGAACGTAAATTAAAACAGTAGCTGGCATTGTGATTTCTCCAGTTAAAAATTACCAATAAAAATTGCTGCGCCCAAACAGGGGCCCGCGGTGCATTGCACCGATTGCACCTGTGTTAAAAGCGGCCCTGGCGTGTATATATAGTTTTCTTTACTTAAGCCAAATTCATGTGCATGAGTATCAAGGACTACATCACGGTTAACAACTGCAATATTACCAATACAATCACACATACATATACAATGAGCATGAGTAAACTTGCATATGTTGCTGTGTAAACGTCAAAGTTAATATTATATCTTTGTTTTTTGATGAAAGACATATAGTTTTATTAAACAGAAATGCAATAATTTACTGTTGTGATAAATGATGAACAGCTGCGTTTATTTTATTCCTTTTAACAGCGTAACTGCATTTCCGCAGTAAACGCCGCGAGGGCTCTTAATTGGGATCGATTCGCAAACCGGTCGTTTGGGTCACCGACCGAGTGTCAGAAAACCGTAAGTTCGATTCGTTCATCGAACGGGTTCTCGGGTTTTTTGGAGTCACCGAGTTAGAGACCGTACTGTATCTCCCTTCACTTATACAGCAACCGTGTCTCACGACGACGAGATATGAAAAATCAATCCGAAATCGCGGGGGGATGCTTTTGGATGTTGAATAGCCAAAGATCAGTTTTAAAAACGTTTAAAAATAATTTAAAGAATCGACAAAACAGAGTTAAAAAGAACGATTCTTTCGCGAATCGGCCATCCCTAGAGGGATGGGAACCCGAGTTCCAGGTGCAGCGGGTGACACCTCAGCATAGAGGTGGCTGGGCGATATGGGCTAAAATTATCACAGTATTTTTCACCTTTTGGACGGTGGCGGTATTATATTACGGTATTACTTTTCCAGGTTTTGGGAGGAGTAGTATGTCTTGTCCCTTTATATAAGTAAAAAGAAATGTTTTATAATATATTAAGTGCACTTCAGTTGCTAGCTTATACTTCACCTACAGTTGGGTATGGGTGCTTTCGTTTAGAAAAGATGCAAAAAGTGACCTAGGTAATGTTTTCTCATATTTGTTTTATAATTGTTGGTATAACAACGGAAACGGAATGACAAGCCAAAAACGGTGCATCTTTTCAATTAAATTACAACTGCTTTGAAGAAAATGAAATGCTTTGTTTTTTATAAATAGGCTATTGTATAATTAGGCTGTAGACTTCTTGAGGTGTTACCAGTATAGTGGAAATCCACATCGTGGCGCACAATCACACCAGTAATGACACCGGTGTACTGCCCAGCCCTACCTCAGCACCACGCTAGTTCGAATGGAATGGATCAGTGTGAAGTTTCTTCTGTTGGCTGGAGTGTCAGTACTGTCACTAACCCCCAGATTTTCCCTGAAAGTTGAATCACTAACACAGGTGGACATATTGGGTCCGGAAAGTAAAAATCCAGACCACGGTTTTGTTTCAACCAACCAGTTGAGTACTCTGTAACTCTGACTCTTTATGCTCAACAGGTTGGTTGAAACAAAATCCTGGTTTGGATTTTAACTTCCTGGACCTGAAACGTCCACCTCTGGTCACTAAGGCTGTATTTAAATGAACAGAAGGCCCTTCCCCCGTAGTGGGCATATTTGAATAAACAGAAAGCCCCACTGCAAAAGAGCAGGTCCCACTCCCCCATAACTTCTGCACGTCAGTCAAAATTAGGCTTACTCTCTATAGCTATTCTTACTGCACACCCACATCATGTGATCTGCGGGGTGTTCGGTTGCGGTACCGTGAGCGATGATGATGCCGAGGGCAGTGGCTTCGGAGAGTGGCAGCATGGGGGCCATACCCCTGCTGTGGCTGTACTCCACGTGGATGTGCAGGTTACACTGCGGGGGGAGCAGCACAGCTCAGACACGCACACGTCGCTGTCCCATAATTACACAGTAACCAATAAAAACAGACACGCATCGGTCACTCACGTTCTTCACACCCTGTCCGCAGTTTGCGTTGCCTGGCTTGGCCAGCAGACTCCATTCTCCACCCTTGTTGAAGGAGATCACGGTCCGGATGTGTCCGTCTGCAAACCAGGAACGACATAAATGCTGCAACCTCAGACTGCTTCACCCTTCCCTCCAACTGTTGCACCCCTTCCTCCACCCCCACACAAAGCTCCTCAGCAAACATTACCCCCTCCTTTGCCCCATCTACTCCACACCCATTCATCCACCACTCTCAGTACACATCCACCTTCACCGTCCCAGCATACCTGACCGATAATCATTGCTAACGTACTGATCGACCACCATTCGTCACATGAAAAGTTAAAGTTTCACGTTACCGTCGACGCCGTTAGCTATATTATGGCTCATACCCTTCTCCAAAATGTTGGTGAGGTAGACACCACGCAAGGACGTGACGTTCGTGAAGTCGCTCTTCCCCTCCACTCCAAATAGGTGGCGCTCTAGTGACTTGGAGTAGATAACACCCTGGCCGTCAGAGGTGTAGACGGTCCCGAAGTTTGTGTCTGCAGTTAAACAAAGGAACCCAAGTGGAGTCAGCGCCCTCTGCCTGACGGTGGTCAGAATGACAGCAGCTCAGAGTGATGGAGAGTGTGGTTTCGGTGGGGGGTGGGGGATGGTGGGGTCACAGGCACTGGGGCGGAGGTCAGGACTAGGTTTAGGCATAGGCAAGCTAGAGGGGATCCCAGACTGGCAGAAGGGGGCTATGCCCAAAACAATATACCATAGGGCTACCCCCCGCCCGACTGGCGAAATCTACCAAGGGGCACACCCCCCTGAGGTGCCACCTGAGCCTGCCCAGCCTCCTTATCTGCACAGCGGGTTATGATGGTGTGATGGGTTTCTGCTTTCTATTAAAACTGGGAGGGGGTGTGCTGACATAGGCGATGTGAGCAGCCATGTGAGTCCTCCCTCAGGGAACCGGTCCTTCAGGGTCAGGGCTGCCCAGTCTGATCTGTTAGTGCCACTCTGGCACCCTCGGTGCGGGCTGGCAGGCGGGTCGAGAAGAACCAGCCTGTCGAGCCTCTGCCCCCACCCCCCACCCCCTCATCGTGGGCTGGGGAGCGAGTTAAACTGGGCATAGGGTGTCAGGGAGAGCTGTGTGTCTGGAAGTGTCATTGAGGCGTCATGTGATGTGGGGGGGCATCCCAATACCTCCAAGGTCATCGACATGCATGAAGATCATGTCCTCATCCCCATCAAGAACAGAGTAGAACTGGAATCAGAGACAAAGAGCAGATGAGTACAGACACAAACAGACACAGACACACACAAAGACACAAACAGACACAGGTACACACACACACACACAGTGTGAGTTTCTCTGTCAGTGTGTGTGTGTGCCTGCCTGTGGTGTGTGTGTGTGTGTCTTGGTGTGTGTACTTGTATTTGTGTATGTGTGTGTGTGTATATTTGTATTTGTACGCATCTGTATGTATATTTGTATCTGTACGCATCTGTCAGCATGTGTGTATATTTGTATATATCTGTGTATATCTGTGTGCATCTGTGTGTACTTGTGTCTATGTCTGTAAGTATTTGTTTCTGTGTGTGTTGCCTATACATGTCTCCCGTTTCATATACCTCACCTGGGAGGAGACAGGCGTCCCGAAGTAATGGTTAGAGTTTGGATAGTTAGGCTATCTTAGGGTTAAGGTTAGGGTTAGGGTTAGTTATTAACATGCTCCTCCATTGTCTTGGCTCGCTAAGTCACATGCTGGCACAGACTGCCTCCTCATTCCACAGACTGCCCCCCCACCTACCCTTTTACTCTTTTTTTTTTTTTTTTTGTTTTTTATTTGTTTAGTTCCTAGTTATATTCTGTTATTATTATTGTTATTATTATTTAATAATTAACAGTAGAGTTTACTGGTAGGGGCCAATTTAAAGTTCTGTGTTAAACCTGCACAGGTGGTAATACCAGAAACGAAAGACAATGGCAGTAAAAACAAAGGAAAAAGCCACAGCAGTGCCTGGGAGCCCGGCAACCTCAAACCGGCTCTCCCAGCACGGCGCCCAGGGCTGCCGGGTTAGAGGCCACGTGGAGGAGGGGGAGGTAAGGAACGCACACTGATCACATGGGGATGAGAACCTGAGTGCAGCCGTGCAGCCGGTGATACCTCAGCAGCACACCAGTCCAGATGGAACAGTGCGAGAGGCCGCATGCTTCTCGCTCAAACCCGGCCCCGGCAGCCACCTGATGCATGAGCCAGCAGGCATGCAAGCACACGCACACAGTCGCATGGCATGCTTGTCAGCTGTGACTGCTGTCCCAGTTCACGTTTCCATGCCCTGGGAGGGTCACGCAACGTTTGAAACCCAGACAGCAGGACTGGCCTATTTTCTTCCATATAAAAGTCCTGTAGGACTCTATCTCTAAAATACAAGTGATACAAAAAAGTAACAGCAATGACTTTAGCTGTTACTCACCACAGTAAAGCCACAGTGTGCTCTCAGGTTGGAGCCATTTACGAGCCTGAGAGTCGTGACTCTACTTCCTTAGCACATTCTGACACATTGAGCAGAGAATGCGGGAGAAAAAAGAGCACATAGGAGAGAGCGGAGGGAGGGAGAGAGGAGAGCGCACAGAGAGGAGAAGAAAAGTGCACAGGAGAGAGCAGAACACGCAGGGAAGAGGAGAGTGCGAGGGAGAGAGGGGAGCGCGAGGAAGAGGGGAGCGTGCAGGAGAGAGGAGAGCGTGAGGAAGAGGGGAGTGCGCAGGAGAAAGGAGAGTGAGGGAAAGATGGGAGTGCATGGGAGAAAAGGGAGCATGCAGGAGAGAGGAGAGCGTGAGGAAGAGAGGAGAGCGTGAGGAAGAGGGGGGAGAAGTCTGGCGAGACTTAGGAACCCGGCTTTGCAGAACGCTGAGGAAAGTGGTGTTTTTGGTTTACTCGGTTGAATAACGACTTAGCCTTAACATGTAATATTATATTTGGAATGAGAGTGTGACTTGTGCATTCTGTGTAAAGCATTTTATTGATTGACCATGTTTCATGAACGGGTCAGTTTTACAGGCTGCACAGTCACGCACTAAGAGGTACCCTGTAACGCTTTGTGTTACGAGCAACACACAAAGCTCCTCAGACCTTTGTGGGAGTTTGTGGACGAGCCATAGAATGCTTGGTGGATGGCCCTGGATGTACCGGCCTGACACCAAGACGGACTGGAGGAAACTCGTGGTTCTTTTTTTCTATTTTTTAAGCGAAACAGCCATTACTGTTTTGGTCACAATGCAAAAAAGCTTTGAATAAGTCTTTTTCATCTGAGAATACTAGGGATGAGCGAGTACAGCATTATCTGTATCTGTATCTGTAAACCATATGAATTATCTGTATCTGTATCTGTAAACCATATGAATTATCTGTATCTGTAT